AAAATTTAAAATGGAAAAGAGCTCCTCATTCATTACTGGATTGAAACTTCCACATGTAGAAGGAAGAATAAATATGATATTTTTTACTTGAAAAATAAACTGCAATAAATTTTGAGCTCTATTTATTATCTCCTATAATTCCTTCTATCACATGGCTAGCTTCAAATTGTTGTATAAAAAATTTGAGCTATTTCTTTAACCCGGAAAATAAAAAACAAAATAAAAATTAGACTGTTAGTTCACTTATGAAACCATGAACTTTTTTGCTTAGTTTCTATTATTTTTGACATATTGATTCGTTTATTATAGCTTTGTATTTACACAGATAATTTCTTGTTTAAAAGTTATTAATGCATAAGTTGTGAGATGGAAAAAAAAAAGAATCCAATTGCTTTCTCAATATTGCATTCTTGTGGATCAAATGTTTTGAATGTTTTATTTATGGAATTTCGTGTACTGTGAAATAGCAAGGCTACAGATTTTTATTTTTTATTTTTTATTTTTCCTTATTTTTCTAATTTGGGGTGAAGACATTTATTTAGTTCCTATTTTAGATGATAAAATTTACAGACCTTACTCGAACATCAGTAAACCAATATTTGCATTCTGTTTTACAGTTTTGTCGGAATTTAAAATTGTCCATGGAGATGATTTAATCTTAAATTAAGTGAAATTTTTAAGTTGTACTTGAAATACATATTCTCTCGACCTCAAATATAACACAAATATGTTTTACACACCCTTGATATTTAACATTTGAATAATCGACGAAGGCAATAAAAAATTAGCTGAATGACAGACTGTGTCTTTTTTCCTTTTTGGTCTTCTATACACAAAAGAAAACAAAACATGTTAAAGTTAGAACATCCTTATTTGTCTTCCTTTAAAACAAAATTCTTTGATTCTCATACTAATTTTTAACTATATATTTTTTTAATAAAATATTTTGCACGTAAATTCAAAACTTTTACATAATTTTCAATCACAAATTGTCCAAAAAATATCGCTATTCAAAAATCAAAATTTTCAAAAAATGGCCATCGAACGGGGTTTGTAAAGCATATCGTATATATAATAGAGAGTCTTTAAATTTAATGAGAAAAAATTTATTCACTCTAATAATTGTCTTTATTTTGACTCTTCATTTCGTGTATTTGAAAAATATTTATTTGTGTTTTTCCTTTATTTAACAAATTTTTATATGTCATTAGCCAATCAATTCAATATGATCGAATAATTTAAGAAATATAATTTGTAGCTTATTAAATGATATCGTTATAAAATAAAAAGAAAGAGTATATTTGACTCTAGAGTAAAATTGCCTCTCTATTTTAAAAAGATAGAATAGAGAGTCTGTTTAAAATAGAGAGTGTCTTGTGTTTAGAAAATTTTTCGGAGATGTTTTCATAAATAAACTGTGACCAAACTTCAACCGTTTAACTTAAATTTGGTCCAATGCTCTTGAACTAATGCATGGATTCGCCCAAATATTCTTTTCAAATACCATACCAACTTTTGAACATTTTCCAATGTTGGCAGAAGGACAATTAATTTATTTCATCTTACATTTTCAATGTTGAAAAAGGACACTCAATTATTTCATCTTAACAATTCACTCACCAAATTTGTACGGAACGAATTCTTCCAATTAATTTTCTTTCCCTTTCAAAATTGATACGTTTTCAATTATGACATGTTTTTGGTAAAAATCCTTGAAAGAAAGTAAAAAGGACCGAGCTAGGGAAACATAATAGATAACGTAGGGTATAATCAAACACACACAACTCGGGGGGTCGGGCATTATTTAACTCACTTGGGACGTCGCACTTTGTGAGGGTCGATCATCCCAAGTGTCAAACATTTTTCGGGAGAAAGTGGCATTTTCCAAATAAACAAGTTGCTAACATCTTAAAAATAGGGTAGGTCTTTTTTACTATTAAAAATAAATTTAAGCTTTCAATTTATGTTAGGTCAACTTCATTTTTTCACATGACCTTTGTACTCGGAATATTTTACAAGAGTGAAAAAATATGTATGTATATATATATGGAGAAAACGATACATATTTTATGAAATAAATTTCAAAATCGAAGAAAAATTACAGACTATCGAAGACTAATAAACTACATAAGATATAAGAAATTATTCCAAATACATATAATTTCTCGACCTTCCTACCCCTCAATTATCACACAACACAACACATGCTTTGCCACACCCAGAATATTTTTCATTTGAACAAATAACAAAGACAACAAGAATACTAGCTTAATAATGGACTATTTTTTTGCTTTTTGGCCTATACACAAAAGAAACCAAACATGTCAAGTTACTAATAAAGTGCGACCAAACTTTCAAAGTTTAACCAAAATTTGCTCCAACTCAGCTGAAATAATGCATGGGTTCAGTCAATTATTCTTTGGTTTTGCTAGTAGTACATCGGGATGTACCTAATGGTGTACACCCCACTCACATGGGCGAGGGACCCACTCGAATAAAACATCCTTTCTTTCACATGGATCCCACACCCATGTGAGTGAGGTGTACACCATTCGATACATTCCATTATGTACCACTAGACAAATTCATTATTCTTTTCCAACGCCATACCAACTTTTGAACTTTTTCAAATGTAGAAAAAAGAGAATTCTTCGATATCATTAACTGTTGTCGATTTTATCCCGCAAGTCGATCCCACAGGACTATACTTTAGCACGTAATTCAAATTTCTTTAACCACTATTTGATGAAAATAAACAAAAATGATGATCGATTGTGATTTTTGATCTAACTACTTATGAGAATGAATGCAACAAAAAGTGATTTGGAATTCAAAAAATAAATGGATGTTAGGGCGGAACAACTTCACTTATTGGTCACATTTACTTCTAATATCGAGATTCAAAAAATGTAAAGTAGTGTTCGATCAAATTCTTGTTCGATCAAATTCTTCTCTTGTATTCAATTTACCGCTCTTGAATTCTCATTGAGCATATTTAACTACTTCAATTCCATATCTCTATATGAATCAAACTTAGTTAAACACACTAATAGTTCTAAGAATTCATTTATGACCGCAGCAATTAATATAGGCATCTCTACACGTTATGTTAATTTACCAAATTTTAATATGTAGTCTAAACAAGAATCCCCATCTCTACGCATTTATTGTTCATGAAATCATTGAATAATTGGTTAGAAAATTCAAAGCATTATGAACATGATTAAAATCCACACATATAATCATAACGAACAATAATCTCAAATAAAATAAATAAAGGGTTCCAAATAGGTTATATTGTTTGCCCTAAAATTAGATTTAGCATCTCATAGTAATGAAAGAAAAATAAGAAATTATTATGGAAGAGATCACTGAATTTTGAATGCATATAGAATAAGAAACCAATCTTGCACCAAGATCTTCATCCTCTTCCAATCAATGCGTTAAACCTTCAATTTCTTGATGTTTTCCTCTGAATTCCTCTTTTTGATTCTCTAATTATGTTCTTTTGCCTCTCAATGCTAAACCCCGCCCCCCCCCCCCAAAAAAAGGTGTGAGAAACTTGTATTTATAAGTGCCTCCTTGTATATGTAGAAAGTGTGATTTTTATGGATTTCAAAATGGGCCAAAAAACGCACCCTAAATGTACCTAGTGGCGCCTTGACTCCTTGAAGTGGCGTCGTGGCGCCACCTTTGAGGCAAACAACATGTCGCTTAGTATTTTTATTATAACTTTCTTTTCCGATATCCAATTGAGGCGATTAAAGTTGTGTTGGAATGCTAACTCAAAGAGCTACAATTTTTTTTCCGATACCATTTTCAAGTTTGATCATTTGTTATGTCAAAAACGAGTCTCAATATGAGTCTGAAAACGGTGCATACATTTTTTTTGGTTGAAATTAGATGTGTGATCATACTTTGATTATATTTCATTCCTTTGATGTCTTTCTTTATCCAATTGACTTCGAGCACTTTTGAATCTTCATCGTGAGGTCTGACACAAATTTTGAGTATTTGTACTTTAGTCCCCCGAACTTTGGATCTCTTACAACTTAGTCATTTTCTCCAATTTTGTCAACTTTTGCTTATTTCCTTGAATTTCTTGTAATGTCATTGAATTTTACCTATTCAACACCAAATGCAATAATTTAGACCATAATTCATTCGAGAAACAACTATAGATCATCGTTTTAAAGTTTTGAATAAGTGTATAAAATACACTAATCAAATATCTCCAAACTTAAACATTTATTTGTCCTCAAACAAATCTATCATCTAAATAGCTACCAACATACAAGCATACAAAAGATAATGGTTGGACAATCAAGCTTTTTACCTCAGGATTCGAGATTTTGATGTTTATTCCACAAACAAGCTTCAAAGTCACAGTACCACAAAAATATCTACTTTTCCAGTGCAAAAGCGATGTGTGTGTGTATGTGTAGAATTAAGAAATCAACCATAACTACACAAGTTGTTTTAATTCCCGACCCTCTATGGTAAAATACATCCTTACATTTCTCGTATGATTCACACACACCTAAACTTACATTTTTTCACTTGTTCCTAATGTGTAACATAAGGTTGAATATTTCATTACTATCTTCATCCTCTCGAGTTTAGGTGGACATTTGCAAGTCAACACTTCAGTGATCAGAAATTCTTTAATTATTTGATTGCTTCGACTGTCACGACTTAACTAGCTAATTATTCTTCATCAAAAGTCAAATTTCATTAAATAAGTGTTATGTCTTAACCAAGATATTTAGTGCTTTTGCCCTTTTTATGCACTTGTTTTTTCTATTTTTCACAAGTTTGTTTTTTTTTTCATTAAGCTTTCTAGATGACCCCTATAGTAGGTTTTAGGTCGATGCCTCTCAAATCAGATGATTTTAGGACAAAAGGTTTTAAACACCCTTACAAGCTTATTGATCTGAAACAAAAAGGTTTCGAAGAGAACCAATTTTTGTTTTAAGTGCAGCTTCATCTTTAATTGCCTTCTAAATGACTCCTGTAACGTGCTTTAAGCTGATGACTCCCAAGTCATACAACTTTAGGGCACTAGGTTTTAAGATATCCTTGCAGACTTAATTATTGGAGTCATAAAAACTTCAAAGAGAAATATTTAGATTTCAAATGTATATACCTTAATCAGTGCAATGCCCCTATCACACACTTATTCAAACAAACCAACATCCAACTTAAGACTTTGGCCTAGTTTTATTATGTTAGTCTAAGACAATCCACACACAAGTTTTCACATATGAAATCCAAATTCACATCCGCATCTTCCTATAACTGTAAAGTCATCCCGAAGTATGCTAACTTTGGTCTAAGGATAAATAATTTACTATGGTTTAGGTAAAGCATCTATGTCCAATTAAATCAACCTTACAAACAAATGAATCAACTCATTTTATCACAGTGTCAAATTCAATTTTAGTGCACGTATAATATTAAGTTTTGTAAGGTTAAGCTTCAATAATCAGTCTAGCATGCGTCCTATCCATAGTTCATATATCAACACCAAAACTCAAAGTAAAATGTAATTATAAGCCAAACTTTTCAACTCACACAAAAATTTTAGGTAGGCAATTAGGAAATTAATAATAATACACTTTCCCAAACTTAAACTAAATATTATCCTCAATGTTAAACTTAAAGGAAAATGAGGAGGACTTCTTTGAAATGTCAATATTGCCTATGATGTTGTGAGACCTTGGTGTTGCATTTGATCGACTCTTCTTCCACATCCCCCCCCCCCTAAAATTGAGATTTGTCCCATTTTCTCCTTGTTCATGTTGGTTTTAGAGTTCCACGATGACATCTTCCTAAAAAACCAAATTTGAAAAATTAAACTCATGGAACAAGGGTTACTTAGCTCAAACAATTAATAACCAACTCAATTACTCAAATATCTACGAGTAGAAGGGTATGAGTGATGATTTCTGAATAAACTATACATTAAACTAAGCTATCCTATAACTCGAAAACAAAATAAATAAAAAAAGCTTGGATTACCTCCCAAGATGCACTTCTTTTAAGTCATTAGCTTAACTTGTGCCACTGATTTATCATGGTGGCTAGAACCAAGTTATTCCATCATTGCACTTTGTCCAATTTTCATTTATACAGGCCCTTTTTGTTCTCCAGATTTTGATTTGTCCATTCTCATCTCTACCAAGAAGTCCCCCAAAAATTAATTTTCTGTTCTGACAGCTTCGTTGATTAGGTAGCCCTTCTTCATCAATTCTACAACAATCAATTTTATTGGGAGGTTTTTTTTATTGAGTGTAAATATTGAATATCTCTTGCTTGTCTTCCATTCTCAAGATTAGTTCTCTCTTCTCCATGTCAAAAAGGGTTCGTCCCCTTGCTAAGAATTGCTAACCCAATATAACTGGAATGTCTAGATCTTCTCGTATGTCCAATACAATGAAATCCACAAAAATTATGAAATTTCCTGCTTTTATGAGTACATCCTCAACTGTGCCATGCGGCCTTGAAATTGTTCTATCAGCTAGTTGTAGCATTATTGATGTTGAGTTGACTTTACCTAGTCCCAATTTTCTATAAACAGAATACGACATTAGATTGATGCTAGCACCCATGTCACACAATGCATTAATTGAACAGGAATTTCCAATTGAAATTGGTAAAGTAAAACTCTTTTGATCCTTCAATTTAAGAGGTAATTTGCTCAGGACTCTTGCACTACTTTTCTCAGTAAATGCCACAGTTTCAAACTCCGAAAGCTTTCTTTTCTTTGTCAACATCTCTTTTAAAAATTTCGCGTAGTTTGGAATTTGTAATATCGCATCAATGAACGGAATATTGATTTGGAGCTTTTTGAGAATATCGAGGAAATTTTCATAATTTATACCTTGTTTATTCTTCTTAAGACCTTGTGGAAAGGGAATGGGAAGCATGTAAGCTTTGGCTAGACTTGTTGCTTTAGCAGTTGTTGCCTATGTACTTTCTTCGTTTTCAATTGCATTTGGTGCAGATTTTTCCACCCTTGTAGCTTTATCAATCACTTCCTAGTCATCTTTTCTTTTGGGTCTCTCTGTAGTCATCTCTGGCGATTGTACCTCGCTATTTGTATTTATGAATTGAATATTTTGCTCCATCGACTTCTTTTGAAGTCTTTAGGGAAACGAAAGTGGAGGTACATATGCTTTAACTTTCACGGGGGACCTTGGGTGGATCGTTCTCCACTACTTTAATTGCCATCTCCTATTTCTTAGGATTTATCGTTGTATTGCCTGGAAATGTCACTAGTGGGCATTCTGTATGTTGTCGCGCTATCTGATCAATTTGTGTCTCCAGTTTCTTGATGGATGCCTACGGATTTTGAAAGTTTGTGCCAATGTGTTAGAACGCCTCGTCAATCTTTTGCACATATTGTTGAAACATCTTCCCCAAACTTAGCATTCTTTCTTGTTGAAAATTGTTCCCATATGAGTTGAAATTACGAGAGGCATTTTGAATAAAATTTACTTGTTCCTCTGAAGAAGCAAGCATCAAGCAATTTTTTGTAGCATGATTTCTCCTACAATTCTCACAAGTTGAATTGGCCATCACCGCATTTATTCCACGTGTTTCCAATTTTACAAGTAACTCTACCTATTTTATTAAAGCTTCTATCTGTGCATTGGTAGATGTTGTACTGTCTAATTCATACATTCTAGATGCCTTTGGTGGTACCACTCTTTTTGATGAGAACGTTCAATGTGTGGTGGCTATTAACTCAAATAGGTCCATGGTTTGTTGCACTAATTTCCCTATGATTGATCCACCTGCAGAGGCATCTACTTGAGATTTTAATAGTGATGTATGTACGATGTAAAAGTATTGCACTTGGTTTCCTATAGTGATTCCATGTTTTGGACACTTTCTCATCAACTTATTAAATCTATTCCATGACTCTTGATAGCTCTCTCCATCTCTTTGTTGAAAAGTTTGAATATCCAATTTGATTTTAGCTACTTTCGTTGATGGGAAAATTTTGTTGCAGAATTTTCTCGTTAGTTCTTCCCATGTAGTACTACTCTCATGAGGCTCCACATCTAACCACTCCAATGTAGCATCTCTCAGTATAAATGGGAATAATTGCAATTTAATAGCATCTTCATTAACTCCCGGAGCATGGAAGTTTTGATAGTTCATGATAATTCTGGAGATATGGGTGTTCGGATTTTCATGAGGTAACCCATAAAATTGGAGAGTGTTGCTCATCAAATTAACCCAATCTTGCTTGATCTAAAAATTATTCACCACAAAATCTGGATACACAATACTGGAGCGTGCCGGTACTGCTATAGGTGTTAAGAATCTTAAGACTGGCAAATCTCCTTCATTTATTTCACCTCGTTCATGCTACTACTCTTGGGGTGTCTCTAATCTTGAGGCCACTTGTCCAATTGGCTGAATAGGAATAGGAATAGGAATATGTTGATTGTCAGCCATTTGATGTTGTTTTTGTTTGTATTCTTTGCGTCTTCGTCGGAAAGTACATTCTATCTCTTAATCAAATGGCCGAAGATTGTTGCCTTGGGCACGAAACATACAACAAACATAGTATTATGTAAATAAAAAAAATAAAAAAATCAAATAAAATTTAAGAATAAAAATAAATTAAGATTAAAAGTAATAGTCGCCAACAACGGCGTCAAAAACTTGTTGTCGATTTTATATCTAGCAAGTCTATAAATCGTAATGAGTAATAAGGTGGACCTAAGAGTCCAGATTGTCGATCCCACGAAAACTATACTTTAGCACTTAATTCAATTTTCTTTAACAACTATTTAATGAAAATAAACAAAAACGATGATCTATTGTGATTTCTGATCTAACTACTTAAAATATGAATGGATGCAACAATAAATGGATGTTAGGGTGGAACAACTTTACCTATTGATCACCTTTACTTCTAATATTGAGATTCATAAAACCTAAAGTAGTGTTCGATCGAATTCTTCTATTATATTCAATTTACCCCTCTCGAGTTCTCATTGAGCCTATTTAACTACATCAATTCCATATCTCTATGTGAATCAAACTTAGTTAAACGCACTAATAGTTCTAAGAATTCATTTATGATCGCAGTAATTAATATAGGCATCTCTACGCATTATATTAATTTACTGAATTTTAATATGTGGTCTAAACTAGAATCTACATCTCTACGTAATTATTATTCACGAAATCATTGAATAATTTTCTAGAAACTTCAAAGTATTGAGAACATGATTAAAATCTGCACATACAATCATAATGAATAAGAATCTCAAATAAAAGAAATAAAGGGTTACAAATAGTTACATTATTTGCCCAATTAGATTTAGTTACTCATATTAATGAAAGAAAAACAAGAAGTTATTATGGAAGACATCATCGGGTTTTGAATAAGAATATAGAATAAGAAACCATTCTTGTACCAAGATTTTCTTCCTCTTCCAATCAATGCGTTAAACCTTCAATTCCTTGATGTTTTCTTCCTTTGAATTCCTCTTTTGATTTTCTAATTATGTTCTCTTGCCTCTCAATGTGAAAAATCTCTGAAAAAGTGTGACAAATTTGTATTTCACTACAACAAAACTATGATTTCGCAATAAGATTTTTTGCGACATACAAAAAGTTGTCACAATAAGTGACTTAATGTGACACATTATTAAAGTTTGACGCAAAGATTTTGATGAAAAAAATAAGTACCAAAAAATATAAGACGACATAAAAAGTTGTCGTGAAATGTGAGAAGTTGTGACAAATAATAAAGAATGTCGCCAAAAATATGAGGGAAGCAATGTAATGGTTGTTGATCTTGTGCTAATATTCAATGTGAGATATTTGAAATATTTTCTTTAAGCTGATATTTCATTACCTTCTACATGTACGTGTTTGACTAAATTTGTGGTGCTTTTCTTTATAGGAATTTTCATTTAATCAAAGAACATATTGATGGTGAGTTGGAAGCATATCTTGGAGTCAAGAATGTTTTTGGTTGTCCAGTGAGTTTTTTTTTTTTTTTTGTTATTTATTCCACATTTCTAGTTCTATTTTCTAATTTTTCAAGTTTGTTGAATCATTCAAAGTAGTTCGACCTTGAAATCAATCGTACTATAGTTTATCCGTATATGTTTTGATTTTGGAGACAACCAAGTTTGTAGATAATACGTTGATCTATATTTATTTGGTTGACAGTAATATGATTTTTTTTTCTATTTTGATATCAATTATATTTTATTAATTGTATGTTGAAGCATGCTCTTCATAAAGTCACAAGTTATTTCAAGTAAAGTTACATTTTCATTTAAATGTTCACCACAGTAAAGATTCCATTACGACGAAAGAAATTGAAAATTATGTGCTTAAAATAGAGTCTCCGACATGCATAAATAAAAATAGATTCAATTAGGCGACAATTGTATATCGTTGAAGTGACAAACCCTTTGTGTTGCAGGATAAATTTAACAACAAGCACAATTTGACAAATAAATAAAAGTTCATTGTCACAAAATACTTTACGTAATAATATTATATGTTGTAAAATAAAATATGTAACGTATATAAATAATCATGAAATAAATTAGGCAACAACCATGCTCATTGCACAAATGATGGCGCAAAGAACTATTTGTGTTGCGAAATAAATTTAAATAAAAACATTACTTGTTACATAAAATATTGTATGACAAATATTGAATATAATAAAATACATTATGCGACATATCAAATACATTGTAAAACATATTTCACAACAAACATTAATTGTTATTAAAAATATATTACCACGTGCATATGTTGCTGCAAAATAAAATAGGTAGCAAGAGTGACACTTTTGAAAGAATATTCGCAACAAATATTTTTCTCATAAAAACTTTATTGGAATAATCGTTGCAACAAACTATCATGTTGCCCCTTTATTTTTTTGCAACATATACGCATTGCGATAACATTATAGTTACAATTATCGTATCGCTGTTTCATATTTTATGCGGCAAACAAATAATGTTGTGATTTTGTTAATGCGATAAATGGTCGAAAGTTATCGCAAAATATATTTGATGACTCGACATTTGCAACAAACATAATTCTGGTAAAAACTTTATTGGAATATTCGTTGCGACAAACTAACTTGTCACCCTTTAAATTTTTCGCGACAGACACACACACACACATATTGCGACGACATTACGGCTACAAATATCGTTTGCCATTTCGTATTTTCTACGCCACACAAATAGTGTCGTGATTTGTTAATGCGATTAACGGTCAAAAAATGTCGTAGAATACATTCCCTTACTTATATAGAGCGACAATACTTTCAACAAACGTATTGTCATCACTAAATTACTTTTGCAACAAAATCTCAATTTTTGCAGCAACTTATTTCTGTCGCAAAATCGGTTATTTTTTGTAGTGTTTATAGATGCCTCCTCGTGTATGTAGAAAGTAGAATTTTTATGGACTTTAAAATGGACCAAAAATGCACCCTAGACGCACCCAGGCGGCTCCTTGACGCCTTGAAGTGGCGCTGCGACACTCTTATGTGGCGCCGCCTTTTGGGCAGACAGCATGTCGTTTAGTATTTTTTTCATAACTTTCTCTCCCGAAATCCAATTGAGGTGATTTAAATTGCGTTGAAAAGCTAACTCAAAGAGCTATAATTATACTCAAGATGACATTTTAAAATTAGATCATTTATTATGTTAAAAATGTGTCTAAATATGAGTCTAAAAATGGCTCGTACATTTTTCGGTTGAAACTTGATGTGTGATCATACTTTGATTATGTTTCATCCCTTTGATGTACTTTTTTATCCAGTTGACTCCGAGCACTCTTGAATCTTCATCATGAGGTCCAACACAACTTTTGAGTATTTGCATTCCAGTCCCCGAATTTTGGATCTCTTACAACTTAGCTCTTT